ACCGGAAGAACAAACACATCTGCCTTGGAAGTCGATCGGAATGTTCCTTAGAAGCAAGGATGGCCAGATTTCATCTCTTGTATTTTGGTCATGTTATTAGGAAGGACCAGTCCCTGGAGAAGAACATCATGTTGGTAAAGTAGTGGGTCATCGAAAAAGAGGAAGACCCGCAATGAAATGGATTGACACAGAGGCTGCAACAGTGGGCTCAAACACAGTAACAATTGTGTAGGATTGGGCAGTGGTTTGTGTTGTACATGGGGTCACAATGAGTCAGAAATGACTCAACAGCACCTAGCAACAACATAGTGTTTATGGAACCCTGGTGAAGCAGTGGCTGAAGCACTCAGTTGCTAACCAAAATGTCAGCAGTTTAAACCCCATCTGTTCCTCAGGAGAGAGATGTGGTAGTCTGCTTGTGTAAAAATTCCCAAAAGCCCATTTAGGAATGGGTTTTGTTTGTTATGTTAATGAGGCAGTATTAGTATAGGGTGTGTTTTAAGTCAATCTCTTCTGAGATATAAAAGGAACAGATTAAGCGAGGAGTGATGGGGGGAGATAAATGCCACATGAAGATCACCAAGGAACAGAGGGACAGAGCTGAAAGAGACAAGGACCTTCCCCTAGAACACACTGAGAGAACCTTCCCCTAGAGCCAGCACCCTGAATTCAGACTTCTAGTCTCCTGAACTGTGAGAAAGTTTCTGTTCATTAAAGCCATCCACTTGTATTTGTTATGGCAGCACCAAATAACTGAGACAAGGGCCCACGTATGGAGCTGGCTACAGCCAGGGGGCCAAGTGGAGAGGATGAGAACCAATTATCCCCATGAGCCTAGCCTGGCAGCCATCCTCCAAGGCTCAGACCCAAGAGAGACATTCTAGAGGGTGATGTCCAGCCAGCTGCGCCCCCAGATAACTACAGCTACCATCCTGTCCACCCATAGAACAGAGAGAGAGAGAATACTGTGAAAGGAGGGTCTGTCTACTGCAGTGCAATGAATTGCTTGGTATGGCCCTTCTAGTTATGGTCGTTGTGACTCCCACTAGATGCTGGGTGGGACTATACAAATGTGAGGTGCTTGTGGCCTACCAAGGGGATTGGATAGCTTGTTAATCATGTAAATAAGATGTATGGATCCCTATGGTCAGTTTTGCCATTTCTCTAGGCTTAAAATGAGCCATCCCAGAGGCAGAAAGGGGATGGATCTCACTACCATTAAGAAAACAGCCAGACTGAGGAAAAGGAAGACATAAAGAGGTACATGGGAGGTACAGACAACAAAGATGAATCCTTTTGCACATACAGTACTTCATTATCAGTGATGGCAAACACTGATATACAGGTGGATAGATGGGTGGACAGGCTGAACGATTAGGTATATCTATGCAAGGGGCAGGGGGAGCTGTGGTGGTGTAGTACCTAAGGCATTTGACTGCTAGTCAGAAGGCTGGTGGTTCAAACCCACCAGCCACTCCTCGAAAGGAATCTACTTTCGTAGATTGGCGATCCACTTCCGTAGTGATACCACCTCACAAAAACAAAGAGGGGTCACTATAAGTCGGGTCTGACTCAACGGCACATAACATATAATATGCAAGGGGTAGTGTGCCCATGACCATGTATAGGGTTGGCAGACAATGTTTCTACAAGTGTATTTATATGTTCTGTAAGAATTCCCAGGTGTATAGTAGAGCTGACAAGGGACAAGGTTGTAGTCACTTCTTGGCCTCAGCCAGTTACCCAGAGGGAGCAAGAAGTTGAACCTGTAGGCTCAGGACCATAGTTGCAGGGGGCATCAAGCTCAATTGGCATAACATACCATACAAAACATTGTTCTACATCCTACTTTGGCAAGTAGCGACTAGGATCTTAAAAGCTTGCAAGTGGTTACCTGGATGCAACGATGGGTCTCTCCTCATCCGGAGCAAAGAATGAAGAAAACCAAAGACGTATGGTAATAATTAGTCCAAGGGACTGGTATACCATGCGATCCGCAGCCTATATGACTATGAGACTAGAAGAACTAGATGGTGCCACTATCAACCACTCAGAGGGGGAGCTATGTAGGAGACCCTGGATAGAGTGGGAGAACAATGTGGAACAAAACTCAGAATCATTTAAAAAAAAGGGGGGGGGGGACCAGGTTTGCTGGTCTAATAGAGCCTGGTGGAACCTGAGACTATGGCCCCTAGCTGCCCTTCAGGTCTGCAATAGAACCCACCCCTGTGGCTTTCAGCCAAACAGAAGACAGGCATATGATGTAAACATTTACACTAGGTAGATACACTCCTTGGAAAGAAGAATCATGGGAAAATAGAAGGGCTGCTTATGCACAGGGAGACAGCTTAGGGGGCAGGAGTGCATGGGAGGGAAGGACACAGGGAAGGGGTACTTATGGGGAGGAAGTGGGAGGAGAGCTGTTGCATTGTAGGAAATTATAGTCAATGTCATGATAAAAAGTGTATATGAACTGCTGTATGGAAAATGAATTTCCTCTGTAAACGTTCACCCAAATCACAATAAAATTAATTAAAAAAAAAAAAAAGAGGAGGAGCAAGGAGTGGAGTGCATCCATTGGACCCAAGATCCCGGCCACTGAACCTCCTTAATCCAGGACAGAGCTGTTAACACTTCAGAGGCAAAAGATGGTGAGAAGTGGCAGCAGTCGGTGGCAACAGAGGCAGCAGGACTAAGAGACCGGCACAAGACAGGGTGGTAGGCTTGTCGGCCCACAGAGTAACAAAGTTGAGTGCCTTCAGGCAGGAGGCTTGCTGGTGCAGTGGAATGCCTCTCTAGGCACCTATCAGCAGAGCTAAAAGAGCTGTGTAACATTTACCCAAGCTGGGCAGAGGCCAAGGGGCTGTGGGGCCAAGTGACTGAGGGCCAAAGAGAAGCATGGCTGCCACATGGCTGAGTACAGATTCCCCTGATCCAAAGAAGAACCCTACACTGAGCTTTGCTGATCCCAGTTGGAACCCGTTACTTCTCTAATAATTCCCATTATCATGAATATTGTGAGCTCTGTGTGTCATTGCAATGAGCTCTGGAACCCAGCCGAGTAGACAAAAGGCTGGAGGGTGGAGGCCTGTGACTTCCACCTCAGAGCAGTCTGCCTTGGGCTGTTGATCTTGACCTGCCTTCCTCCTTGTGCTGTTAGAGGTCAGATGCCACCTCCACCACTGTCTGTACACGGATCCCTGCCAACTAGAAAGACACCCTGGAAGCTCTGGATCCCAGACCACAGCTTAGGTGGCTTGTGGCCCCTATGGTCGGCCTCACAGCCCAGTCCATGTGTGCCTGGGCAAGAGCCAACGAGGAAGAACCTACATCCAAGGAAATCCTACTCTCTGTTTAACTAGGTCCCTGGGTGGTACAAACATTTTGTGCTCAACTAGTAACCTAAAGGTTCCAACCCCCCAGTGGTACCCCAGAAGAAAGGCCTGGCAATCTGCTTCCATAAAGATTACAGCCAAGATGCATTGTAAATTTTGGTCAATGACATGAGACAAAGTATTTGTGAACTGCTGTATGAAAAGTGAATTTACTCTGTAAATCTTCACCCAAATCCTAAAAAAAAAAAAAAAAAAAAAATTACAGCCAAGAAAGCCCTCTGAGCCAGTTCTACTCTGACACGTGATTGTGTCAAACCAGCATTGACTCAGTGGCAAAGGGATTGCTTTCGGTTTGGTATAACTGGTTTTAGCCACTTGGAACATGCCCATCATCATACTATTTCTGCCATAGGTGACCTCAGCCCAGCTCAGGGAACACCCAGGGGTCCACCTGGCCAGAGTAGGGGGCTAACTTGAGAGGCTTTGGTTGCTGCCTGGCTTGGCCCCCTGTATCCTAGGATGCAGGGACACCCTTCTGTGCCATGTGTCTCATGTCCCCACGTACTGGATCAACTCCCACCACACCCACTGCTGCCCGACAGGAACTCAGCCACCAAACCACAGCCCAGATTCTGAAACCCAATAAAAAGGGGGGGCTGCCCAAAGCCAAGCTTTATCACCCCCAGGAAGCTTCCTGGTATACCCACTTCCTCTACCCCCACCCAGCACCTGCTCATCAGGGGCCAACTGCCTTCTGCCCAACATCAGGGCCCCAATATCCTGAGGGGAAATTTAATTTTGCTCATGGGTGCCCCCCCAGTGCTGGGCTGCACGGGGGAAGCTCCAGGCAAACACCCAGCCCACCTCCAAAGACATCATGGAGGTCTCTTGTGGGGCCTCCACACCCACCTAGAGATGAAGAAGCTGAGGGTCAGAGAAAACCCTTGCTCTGGTTACAGCTGGGTGGGGCCAAGACTGATCCTGGGATGCCCGGTTTCTAGTCACAAAGAGGAAGTCCTGATGGAGGGGCTGCTTCCAGCCCAGGGACCGGGAGGCACACTCCAAGCTTGGCCCCGTTGCCCCCGAAGTTTCCATTAATGCTGTCTGCTGCCCCACCCATCTCACTCTGAACCCCAGGAAGCCAGAGCAAGAGTGGCCGAGGGGTGGGCCAGGGCTGGGAGCTGAACCACAGAGAGGCTGCAGCAGAGGCCCAGGCCACCCAGGCCGCGGGAGACAGAGGGTCAGAGCCAGGCAGAAGAGGGGAGCCGCCTTTAATCTCCATCCTCAGACAGGGGCAGCAGGAGTGTCCAACTGCAGGGCTGTCCCACCCCACGAGAAGATCCAAAAGCAGCTGAGGCCATTCCCTGTCTTGGGGTGGCATGGTCCCCATCCCAGCTCCTCACACCCAGGGGAAGTATCTGGGGACCCCCCCAACCTCCAGGGCTCGGTCTGCAGGAGCTGGGGGTACAGTGCTGTACTGTCAGAAGAGCCCAGTCCCCGAGGCTGCCCACCAACCCTGCCCACGATTCTTCCACCCAGGCTTGGCCCCCTCTCGGAGGAGCAGCAGGTCAGTGCAGGGGGGCTTGACGGAAGAGGATGAGGACGGGAGGAGATGAGGGCCGGGAGCGTCAGGGCCAGGCTGGAAGCAGACCACCAGGCTGGTCTTCAAAGCAGGAAGGCCTTGTCCTCCGACTGCAGCCGGGGCTCCTTGAAAAAGCGGCCCGGGCCTATGAGCTGGCACAGTGCCAGGAGGGCAGCGGCGGCCAGGGCTGCACTCAGCACCGCTGTGGGGAACAGAGCGACAGACAGAGGAGTAAGTGGTGGGTGGAGGAAGCCCACACCCCACTGAGCTCCAGACAGGTGGGGGTGGGGTTCTCAGCCCATGGCTTCCCCCGGCCCTTGCTCCGGGAATGGCTACACCAAGCTCCAGGGGGTGGGGGTGGGGCTGCTCCTCTCACCAGCTGATGCGATGACCCCTAGGGCACTCTGGTTTTCAGACTGGCCCGAGTCCTGGTTTCCCTGGTTCCCGGCATTGCTGACATAGGGGACACTCTCCATGGTCACAGGAGTCGCCGTGGATGTGACATTCCCTCCCTGGAGGGTCTCGGTTGTCCCTGCAAGGAGCTCAAGCATTCAGTAACTGAGGAGGGGGCCCCCAGACCATGGGGTTCCAGGCCCCAGGGGACCCCAGGGCCTTATCTCCACGCAGACTGGGTGGAGGCGGGAGAACTGCCATCCCTAACCGAGTCTTGACAGGAGCCCTGGTGGTGCAGTGGTGAAGCACTCCGCTGGTAACCAAAAGGTAGGCAGTTGGAAGCTACCAGTCACTACGTGGGAGAAAGATAACCACAGTCTACTTTAGTAAAGATTTACAGCCTTGGAAACCCTAGGAGGCAGTCTACTGTGTCCTAAAGGGTCGCTATTGTGCGGAGATAGACTCTATAGCAGTTGGTTTGGTTTCTAACAATGTGTTGCCACTTCCCCCGCCACCACCAGGAACCAAGTACGAGCAGATGCCCGCATCCTCGTTCCCTGCTGGTCACACAGCAGCAGGTGCCCTATCACCAACACCACCACCCCCACGCCAAGGTCCCAGGCACGCACCGCAGCCTTGCTCGTCATCAGCATCAGGGCAGTCCGGGTGGCCGTCACAGCGCCACGTGCGTGGGATACAAACACCGCTCAGCGGGCAACGCAGCTCACCCGCCGCGCAGGGCCGGGGGCTGCAGTTGTGAGGGCTCTTACCCTGGCCACCCGGACAGCCAGTGGGTGGAGGACACCGCCCGTCCTTGGCACACGGCTCGATGCCTGGGGGATCGATCCCTGGGCAATTGGGGGCACAGGGTCAGACTCCAAACGCCAACCGTAGAGGGCCAAGAATTCCCTCAACCCTGCCGCCTGCAAGCCCCACCTCCCCTGCAAGGCCCCGCCCCTGCTCGTTAGCCCCGCCTTATAAGGATTTCCTCTCTGTGAGCCCTCTCTACTAGCTCCACCTTCCTGCAAGCCCACCTTCCTAAGCCCCACCTCTTCTAAAGATGGACACCCACTAATCCCACCCCATTTGCAAACCCCACCCATCCTCATTCCCTACCCCAGCTTGCCGTGTCTGCCAAGGCCCAATCTCCTGAAAGCCCACCCCTTCCACAAGCACCTCGCCTCCTAATAGGGCCCACCTTCCCCACAAGCTCCGCCCCAACATGCCTGGCCCTGCCTCCTTTCCAGCCCCACCCCTGAGGCTTCCTCCAACCACCGCAGCCTGAACCATTAAGGTGCTGCTCCCTACAGGCCCCTCCCCAGCGGCATGGGCCACTCACTGCATTCATCCTCATCGCTGCCATCAGGGCAGTCTTGATCACTGTCGCAGCGCCAGGTGAAGGGCACGCAGTAGCCAACGGTGCGGCACTGGAAGCTGGTGGGCGAGCATGATCCTGTGCTGGGGTCTGCAGGACCAACTAAGTGAGGCCTGGGACTCTAACACCCGAATCCAAGCCCTACTCCAGGTAAACAGGGGGTGGCAGTCTGCCACCACCAGGAGGGCCAGGATCCAAGGCAGAGGAACGACACTGGTACTGTCATTTGCTGAGCACACACTGGTAACACCTGGGCTCACACACCTCGCCCAGGCCCTGCTGGGCAGCTTCTACCATGATTCTTCTACAGAAGAGTACACTAAAGGCAGTAAGGCCAAGGCTACAAAGCTAGCCTCAGTCAGGATTTGAACCCAGGTCCATCTGATCCCAGGGTTACCAGGCTCCAAATGGCCAGAGAGTATCCAATGGGTGATTTTTCAGTGGGTGATTTTTCCGAAGTAGATTGCCAGGCCATTCTTCCAAGGCACCTCTAAGGGGACTCAAACCGCAAACCTTTTTTGGTTAGCAGCAGAGCACGTTAACCATTTGCACCATTCAGAGACTCCCACTCACAACCGGTCCTTAAACTAGTAACCTCTGTGCCCCACGGACTGGACACTCAGTGGAAATCAATGTCATGGCCTCCTTGACCCGTAGCCCAGAGCAATCTGAGGTCCAGACTGAGTCCAGATGCAATCTGGCCCTTTCTGGATTTCGAACATTGAGGCTCAGGCCAATCCAAAAGCCAGAGGGAGTTGTTGAGCTGTTGAACCAGGGTTGGCCTGGTTCCTGGACCAGCAGGATGGAGCCCCAGGGTGGGAGGGAGTGGCCTTTAGGACTTCTTCTGGGTGCAGCAGGACAGACTGCACAGTGGCCCCAGGTCAGTTTATTTCCTCCACCTCTGCCCCTTCACTCACTGGGGCCTCCACTCCCTGACAGCCAGTCCCTCCCCAAGCCTGCAGGTCACCCAACTCCTGAGCTCTGTGGAGTCCAGAAGGGCTGGGGACAGCCCGGAACCCAGCTTCCTTCCCTGCCCACAGGGGTCTGGCAGTCTCCACGCGTGGCTTCCTCCCCAGCCCTAGCCACCTGCAACCCTGAAGCTCTTCACTTTCCCTCCCTGGCCAGCTGGCATGTGTGTCTGTAGAGTGGGCAGCAGGGCAGGGCAGAAGGGCAGTGGGTCAAACAGGGGTTGAACTGACCAGTGAATTTCCCTCCCCACCTCAGTTTCCTCATCTGTAAAAGGGAGTCTGGACCTCAGTGTCCTGAAGGTGGAGACAGCTTATATGTAAAGAGTTTTGCACTCAGTTAACGTGTGTCCCTGAAGGTACCAGGAACATTAAACCTGAAAAGGCAGGGACTTTGGGGTGGGAAATGGCCTAGATATGCTAAGAGGGGGACCCCTCAGAATGGCAAGAAAGTGCGCCAACCTGGGCTCACAGCTGATAGTCAGGGACACCTGTATTTACCGGGAGGCCTCTTTCCCTCCTAGCGGCCTCAAATGGGAGAATTACTGGGAACCTCAGAGAGGTCCCCCTGCTTACAGAACATCATCATTCATCACTTAGGCCGGGGCGAATGTGCCCACAAGGAGATATTAATTTATGGCTCTAGTCTCTCTGTCTCCGTCTCTCTCTCTCCCTCACACACACACACACACACACACACACACACCAGGGCTTGGGGTCACAAACACCTTTCATATTCTAAGACCAGTGGGTGAAGCGGCAAAGATGGGGAGGGGTCGCCAAGGAAACGCAGCCACGTGATCTCAGGCTGGAAGCGAGCGGCGGGCTGGGGCCAGGGCATTTAGAAGGCGTAGCTGCTACAGGAGATGCCTTCCCTGCCAAGTTGGATGAAGGGCAGCTTGCAGGTGACAATAGGAGGCAAGAAAGCAGAAGTGCGGAGTGTCAGCAGGGCCAGGGCATGGCAGTAAAAGGTTAAGGGACGAAGATGGGGGCTAGGACGGAGGCCCCTCATTACCGCCTGCAAAGCGGTGAAGACGTCAAAAGCCACGTGGGGGTGGGGGGAGTGTCCGGGACGGACAGGCGGCGCAGCCAATGGTGAGGCGCTGCTGGCGTGCAGGGGTGGGCCTGAGCTGCCTAAGGGACTGCTGCGGGGGCTCACTTACCTAAGGCTTGAGCCGAAGGCCCAGCCAGGGTCGGAATTGGGATGCGGGCCGGGGTCGGGGCGGCCTCCAGCCCCAGCCCGAGGCCTAGCAGCAGCCGCAACGCTAAGCCCACGGCCGCTGTCCGCCGCGCTCCAGCCCGCGCCATCCTGTCGCACGCTGTGCCGCCCTCGCCGCGCGCCGGCCTCGCTCTTATCCCAGCGCACGCGCGCCCAGCTCACGAGCCCGGCGGGGGGATGTGGGGGGGGGGCGCTGGGCGGAGCCTATTCCTCTGGTCCTGCGGTGCCCCGGGCTACGACTACCGTAAACGTCCGAACACAGGGGAATCTAAAAATGAAAAGCCCTCCTGTTTCTCAAACAAGTTTTTGAAAATGTACGGGGCTCGCTTGAAATTATAAACTATGGGGATGTAAAGGACCTTGTCGGTGACTACTTAAACAATATTTAGCGTTTTTCACACACACTGAGGAGTCCCTTCTGGCGGTGTAAATACCAGAGCTCGCTTGGCGCTAAGGAGAGGGTTGGAGGTTCAGATCTAGCCAGAGGCACCTCAGAGGAAAAGATTGCCTATCTACTACTGACAAATCAGCCACTGAAAATCCTGTGGACCACAGTTCTCTTCTGACACACTTGGCAGACTACCTGAGTCAGAGTCAACTTGATGACAACTAGTAGTGGATGCAGCTTTAGCAGACGTCACTGCCTCAATCCTTCCCTAACTACCCTATTTGAAATTGCAGCCACCCGCCTCGGGCACCCCACACTCCCTCCTTCTTCTGGTGTATACCCCACATACTATATATTTTGCTTCTCTACTTTGGTTTCCCGCTAGAATGTCAGCTCTAGGAGGGTAGGAATGGTGTGCTGATCACTGCTGTATCCCCACTGCCTTGCACCTCAAAATAGAACATGCCAAAAAAAACCACTCATTGTCGTGGAGTCGATTCCAACTCATGGTGACCCCACATGTGCAGAGAAGAACCGCTCCACAGGGTTTTCTTGGCTGCAATGGTTAAATGTTCAGCTGCTAACTGTAAGACTGGCAGTTCAAACCCACTTAGTGGCTCCATGGGAGAAAGGCGTGGCAATCTGCTCCTGTAAAGATTATAGCCTATTACTGATGTGATAGAGCCCGGTGGAACCCCTGAGACTATGGCCCCTAGTTACACTTCAGGCCTGGAATTCAACTCATTCTTGTGGCTCCCAGCCAAATAACAGATAGGCATATAGAGTGAACATTCACATCAGGTAGGGAGAAAAAAAAAAAAAAAAAAAACCTCACTGCTGTCCAGTCGGCAACTCACAGCATCCCCTCCTTGGGTTTCCAAGACAATATCTCTACAGAAGTAAATTGCCCAGTCTTCCTACTGAGGAGTGACTGGTGGGTTTGAACTGCCAGCCTTCTGGTTAGCAGTCAAATGCCTTAGGCACTACACCACCAGAGATACACTCCTTAAAAAGATCAACCATGGGAAATCAGAAGGGCAGTATTTGCACAGGGAGATAACTCTGAGAGCAGGAATGCACAGGAAAGGAGGACACAGGGAAAAGGTAACCACAGGGAGGAAGTGGGAGGAGAGCTGTTACACTGTGGGGATTGCAGTCAATATCATGAAATAAAATGTGTTTGAACCGCTGTATGGAAAATGAAGTTGTTCTGTAAACTTTCACCCAGATGAAATAAAACTCTAGTCCCAGCTTCTCCCCCCAAAAAAAAAAAAAAATTTACAATCTAGAAACTCTATGGGTCAGATATATTGTGTCATACGGGGTTACTATAAATTGAAAATTGACTTGACAGCACCCAACAGCAACAAAAATCACCAGGCCTTTCTTCTGCAGTGCTGCTATGTGGATTTAAACCATCGACCTTTAGGATAGCAGTCAAGGGCAAACTGTGCCAGACAGGGACCTGCTTGACACATAACCCAAACCCGCTGCTGTCAGGCAAATCCAACTCATAGCAACCCGATAGGGCGGAGTAGAACAGCCCCAGTTTCCAAGACTGTAAATCTTGACAGAAGCAGACTGCTTCCTCATCTTTCTCCCACGGAGCGGCTTGTGGGTTAAAACCACTGACCTCTTGGTGGTGGTGGTGGTTGTTATGTGCCATCGAGTCAGCCCCGACTCATAGCGACCCATCCCTGGGTTTCCAAGGTGGTATCACTACGGAAGTAGATTGCTCAACCTTCCTTCCAAGTGGCCGGTGGTTTGAAGCGCCAGCCTTCTGGTTAGCGGTCAAATGCCTTAGGCACTATGCCACCAGAGCTCCTGCCTGACACATAGCAGGCTCTTAATAGTTGTTGAATAAATGAATGAATTAAATGCCCAGCTCCTGGCTTCCTCCCCTCAGGAGGTAGGTATTATTCTTACATGTGTCCTCCTCCTTCTTCAGGAACAAGATCCATGAATCAATCCTAGGGTTTTCCTTTCTCGGTCTCATGCAGTTGGCACATAAAATAGAACCCTTCTGCAGGACCTCTACCCAATCAGGCTGCAGTGTTTTCATCTCGAAAGTATTTCATTTACAGCTCTGCCTTCAGGAGAAGCGCTGAGTATGACTGCCACCAAGATCCATTACAAACCATTGTCCCTTGGCACCAAGGCACGTGTGCAAGTGTTTGCCGTCCCACAAGGTTCCATGGAGCTGCACTACAAATATCCAGGTGTTTACAGCAGGGCTCCATTTGCAGGTGGATGACAGGCTTCGCTGTTGAAAATGTGTGAGGGCTACAGTTAGGTCTCAGTTCCCTAGTGTTGCTGTAACACAATACTGTAAGTGGGTGGGCTTAAAGAACAGAAATTTATTTTCTCACAGTTTTGAAGATTAAAAGTCCAAGTCAGGGTCTAGGCCCTGTTGATTCCTTCCTTGTTAGTTGCCCTGAAGGAGCTCTAGTAACATAGTGCCTAAGGCATCTGACTTCTAACCAGAAGGTTGGTGGTTCAAACCCAACAGCCACTCTGCAGAAGCAAGACTGGGCATCTACTTCCGTAAAAGATACACCACCTCGGAAACCCAATAGGGGTCACTATGAGTCGGAATGGACTCCACAGCAGTGGGTTTGGGATTGGTTTGGTTGCCCTGGGCATTGCTGGGTTCTTGCTGATCTTCAGAGGCCATCTGTCTACCCCACTATGTGCATGTTTATCTCTGTGACTAATCTGTTCTTCGAATAATTCAGAGATGATTCGATTTAGAACACACCCTACTTGGTTATGACTAATTAGCACAACGAAGAAAAACCCTATCTCCGAACAGGACTACATCAATAGGAATGTTGTTGTTAGGTGCCACTGAATCAATTCTGAGTCACAGCAACCCCATGTCCAACAGAACAAAACACTGCCTGGTCCTGTGCCATCCCCACAATCCTTGGTACACCTGAGCCCACTGTTGCAGCCACTGTGTCAATCCATCTAATTGAGGGTCTTCCCATTTTTCAAGTCAGTTGACCAAGTATGATATTCTTCTCCAGAGACTGGTCCCTTCTGACCACATGACCAAAGCAGATGAGACCAACTCTGGCCCTCACTTCTAAGGAGCATTCTGGCTCCACTTCTTCCAGGAAAGATTTGTTTCATCTTCTGGAAGTCCATGGTACTTTCAGTATTCTTTGCCAACATCACAACTCAAAAGCATCAACTCTTCTTCGGTCTTCCTTATTCATTGTCCAACTTTCACATGTGTATGAGGCAAATGAAAATACTATGGCTTGGGTTAGGTGCATTTTATTCTTCAAAGTGACATCTTTGCTCTTTAACACTTAAAATGTTTTTTTTTTTTTTTTTTTTTTTATTAGGATTTGGGTGAAGATTTACAGAGTAAATTCACTTTTCATACAGCAGTTCACATATACTTTGTCTCATGTCATTGACCAAAATTTACAATGCAGCAGCTCCCCTCCCACTTCCTCCCCATAGTTACCTCCTCCCAGTGTCCATCCCTTCATACTCTTCGAGAGGCCCATTTTCTGCCAACCCTGTATATGATCTTGGATACACTCTCCATTTAGACATACATAATTGTTTAGCTTGTTCACCCATCTATCCGTCCCTATACCCATATTTGCTTTCATTAACAACTCAGTATTGTATTTACAAAGGGGTTCATATTTGTTGTTTGTAATGCCCATGTAACTCTCTCTGTCTTTCTCATCCTCAATGCTGCCATATTGGTCACTCACATTTGGTACATTGCCCTTCTCTTCACCCAAATCAATATTTATCTCTATCTATCTAACAGCATCCCCTCCCCTTCCCTCCCACCCCTGGTAACCAACAAAGAAAATGTCCTCCAATATATAAACATTTCCTTAACTACACTTAAAATGTTTTTTGCAGCAGATTTGCCCAATGAAATATGACATGATTTCTTGACTGCTACTTCCATGGGTAGGAGCTCTGGTGGCATAGCGCCTAAGGCATTTGACTGCTAACCAGAAGGCTGGTGGTTCAAAGCCACCAGCCACTCCTCGGAAGGAAGGTTGGGCAATCTACTTCTGTAGTGATACTGCCTCGGAAACCCAAGGAGGGCTCGCAGTGAGTCGGATCTGACTCGACAGCAGCGAGTTTGTTTTTTTACTTCCATGGGTACTGATAGTGGATCCAAGTAAAATGAAATCTGACAACTTCAATCTTTTCTCCATTTATCGTGATGTGGTTTATTGGTCCAGTTGTGAGGATTTTCCTTTTATTTATATTCAGGTGTAATCCATACAGAAGACTATACCCTTTGATCTTCATCAGTTGATCTTCATCAGTGCTTCAACTCATCTTCATTCAGCAAGCAAGGTTGTGTCATCTGCATATCACAGGTTCTTAATGAGTCTTCCTCCAATCCTGATGCCAAGTTTTCCTTCATAGAGTCCAGCTTCTTGGATTATTTTTTCAGTATACAGATTGAATAGGGGTCAACAGCAGCAGGGGTTAGGATTCCAGCACTTATTTTCTGTGTGTGAGGAGCACGATTCAAGCCCTAACAAGTTATTTTTGGAGTGTATCTATCCTTTCCACAACCTAAAGAGAAGGGGTAAGAAACCAAAACCTGTTGCTGTCGTCAGACATGGCATCTGTGTGTTACAGAGCAGAACTGCTACATAAGGTTTTCTTGGCTGTAGTCTTTATGCAAAGATTGCCAGGCCTTTCTTCCATAGTGCCAGTATGTGGGTTTGAACCACCAAACTTTAGGTAAGCAGCCGATCACACCAAGGATGTTCAGGGGATGAGGGGCAGTGGAAATGCTGGCAGATGGGTGCCTTTGAGGCTCAGGATCTTAGTAAGAGAAGCATCTGGGGTCCAAGGATAAAAACTGAAGCCATGGATTTTCAGAGGTGACATGTAGCAGCTGAGTGAGACAACTCAGCTCTCAGGAAGCCAGAGCAAGCTCTTAGTTTCTCTGGGCCCGTTTTTCCTCTGTTGAGGGTGTAGGTATGACATTAGTTTGATAACATCAGTGACTAGCTCCCAGGGTTTACTTGGAAATTAGAGAAGTTCATGGACACAAAGTGCTCACAACAGCACACAGGAAGTTCCCACTCCCCTTTCACTCTATTCCAAGTCCATGGCATAAACTTTATTCAGAAACCTTCCATGGCATATCTTGCTTGGGGTCTCTTCAGGACTGTCTTCCTTGTGGCTTCTGCACATCCTGTCCCAGGACACACCCTGCTTTTCCCTGCTGATCTATCTTTGGAACCTGACTCATCCTTTGCCCCAACCAGAATGCCACTTCCTCCAGGAAGGCTTCCCCAAATACTTCAGGCCCCAGGGCTTTCTCCCCAGTGAGCTTTTAACCTTTGTAACATCCACTTGGGCCACTTAAACATCCTGCCTAGGACTGTGACCTTGTTCTGTATCACTCTGAGCTTTCAGATAAGCAGCAGAGCTAGAGAGAATTCTGGGTGCCCAGACCTCTAACCATACCCCCTCCTCGGTGGTCAGATCGAGAAATCTATGATTATGTGCCATGCAGGGAGCCGTGTAGCCCCTGGAGTATAACATCGCAGGGTCCCTCTCCTACAGTGCATCATGGGGCACGTTTGTGGAAAAGTCTCCACTCTGACCGGACAGCCTTCGGAGCCCTGGGGACCAGCACCCCATGGAACTGTTCCTGTTGTTTGCCGTGTTTTGAGCAATAAACGGCTTTCATTCGCTGATACTGTATACGTATCAAATGTGTACCACCTTACAGGACTTGAGCAACAAAGCTCCCACAGAAGGGTTGATGCCACTGGCTGGGTCATCGTCCTAGCCATTCATTTTGTGGCTGCATGGGATTTCACGTGGTCTCTAGAACCTGTGTGTCAACACAGTAGTCTCAGCTCTCTTATGCCCCACCAGGTCTGGCCCACCGCATGGTACAGGTTGATCCTTACTTATTGAAGGGGTATGGGCTTCTTCCTGGGTGCACTATACCACACCCCCACTTTAAGGTAGTGCTCACACGGCTCCCACATCACACTAGGCAAGTCCTTTTCCACTTTCCCTCTCTCCTCAGCCCTCCTTCCTTCCACCAGCTAACTCTGCCTACCCCCTCAGCCCCTGGCATTAAGGTCCTGGCTCAGGCCAGTTTCCCTGTGGGTTTCCCTTCCCCCGCACTGGCCTCTCCTGACCACGGGCTGCCACCTCTGCTGAGCAGCTGGCAGCCAGGATCAGGCCAGCAATTGGTAAGGTTGTAACAATTGCTGGTGACTGTCCCCAGAAGCAACAGCTGGTGACTCTCTAACTAAGCCCACTGCTCTGACACCCCCCTCCCACCTGGTCTCGCCATCTGTGCTCTCCAGAGTCCAGAGGTTCTGGAACCCAAGTGCTGGGAAGGGGTCACCCACTCGCAGTGCTCTCATGGGGAGAGCCAGTCCTTCAGAAAGGGCCAGTACTATGGACTGAACCATGTTCCCCAGCCCTGGCCCCTGTACCTGTAGATGGGATGGTCTGGAAATACATCAAGGCTGTTCTCTTGTTAATGACATCACACCAGAGTAGGGTGGGTCCTAAACCTAATCACTTGTAAGTTACAAAGAGCAGAACTGACAGAGACCCACCTAGGAGAAGACATGCTACCAAGGCAGACACACAAGAGATGTACCTACAAGCCCAGGAAAAAATCGCTAGCAGCTACTAAGAGCTGAAACAGATAAAGGATCGACCCCCAGAGCCCCACCCTGAATTCACACTTCCAGTCTTCAGAACTGTGAGAAAACCAATTTCTGTACTTTAAAGACACTCACTTTTCTTTTGTTGTTGATAGCACTAGGTGACTAAGACCAAAAAAAATACCCAAACCCACTGCCATCAAGTTAGTTCCAATTTATAGGGACTTCCACTGGGTTTCTGAGGTGATAAACCTTAATGGAAATAGACTGCCCAGTCTTCCTTCCTTAGAGTGTCTGGTAGGTTTGAACCTCCAGCCTTCTGGGTTAGCTGTCATATGCCTTAGGCACTGCGCTACCAGAGCTCCTTGGTGACTAAAACACCCCTCAACATCTAACCCAGCACCAAGGACGGCATGTCACCTGGACTATGAGTATGCCTCCCTGGGGGCGGGCAGATTCGGGCAGTCAGCACTAACTGCACCATAACTGCAAAGAAGCCACCAGTTGTTTAAAAAATGAAAACAGAAGTGATCGTGGATCTCAATATATTTGTCATAAATTAGGTCACGTTCTCCCCGGAGGGGATCACAGGAGGCGAGGAAGCACAGCCAGGCGCCCAAGGGGTAGGGTCAAAGGTAGGGTTGGTCCTGGGACAGTTCCCACTGCTTTATCGGAGGGGCCGGTGTCACTGCCTTCTTCTCGGTGGCTGCCCCTGAGCTGAGGAAGAAAAGACTGTAGTTAGGGTTGGGGCCAAGTTTTCAGAGGGCAGCATGGCAGGCTCAGAGAGAGGTCACATCTGCCCCGATACACATTGCTAAGACTGTGCGGACCTGGAGGACTGTGTGTGGGGAGTTCCAGAGTGGCCAGACCCCTCCTGGGCCCCACCAGTGGGGTTTCTCAACGGGTCCACCAACTCTCTGCTAGGAGCTGCCAGGCCCCCTTTCTGCCCAAAGTCTGCCCAGACTCCTGGGCCCAGAGTCCAGGTGTGATGAGCTGGGATTCTTCGCCAGCACCCACCCATCTACAGTCCCCAGGCTGGATGAGACAACCCCTCCCCACTTCCACCAGCCTGAGCACCCAGGTCAAACATGCCCACTGTTCATGTAATAGCATGCCAGGCCCAGGAATGGACGTGGGCCTCGCCTTCAGTCTAGCGGGGCTGAGCCTCATCAGCTGCCGTCAATTCTGACTCATGGCGACCCCCCAGGGTTCCCAAGGCCATAAATCTTCATGGAAGCAGACTGTCTCATCATTCTCTCAAGGTGCAGCTGGTGGGTTCAAACAGCTGACCTGGTTAGCAGCCCAACGCCTTAACCAGAACTTCTCAGTGTGGCTGAGAGCCAGTATGACATTTAAAGATACACTGTGGGGTCCAGGATTGGCCAAGGAGACACAGCCAGGCAATCCAAGCGCAAGCCCCATCTCCTCCCTGAGCTCTAAGTGGGGGGTGTGGGCAGATTCAGGGCTGAGGCAGCACCCCAGGAGCAGAAGTTCCACCCTCCTGCCCTCCCAGGAGCCTCCAGGAGGTGAACAAGGCAGAAGGCAGCCTGCCTAAGACTCATCAGGATTGAGGGTGGTGGGGGAAGGGGAGAGTGGTTTGTCACACTCTGGTCTAGATGCAGGGGAATGAGATGGTCACAAGGACTCAAAAAAGGAAAAAAATCCCAAACCTACTGCTGCTCATTTGGGTCCAAGCGGTTGCAACCCCACGTATTACAGAGCAAAACTGCTCCATAGGGTTTTCTTGGCTGTCACCTTTGCAGGAGCAGATTGCCAAGCCTTTTTTCCAAGTCACTGCTGGGTGGATTCGTACCGCCAGCCTTCAGGTTAGCAGTCAGGTGCAAACGTCTGTGCCACCCAGGGACCTTCAAGGACTACTACACTGAGCTGACTATGCAGCAGGCCTCAGCCTCATCATCTTAGAAACCGCATCACACTGCAGTTCTTCCACCCTCATGCCACAGATGAAGAAACTGAGGAGGAAGAGGGCTGAGGGCCTGGCTCTATGGTGGCTCAGCTGGGAGGGCCAAGACATCCCTGTAGGGCTGGGCAAACGGCCTGGCAGACCTGCTCCTGCTGCCTGCCGGCTGCGAGACCCAGGCAACTCAGTCTCTTGGAGCCTCGGTTTCCTTACTGCCACAGAGGCTGTCCCCACCTGACTTGTGGAGTGATGGGGGAGTGGGCATTGTAATACTGTGCTGGAATCCTTTCTACAAGCTTACAAACATCAATTATGAGGATCAACCCTCAACCAACTCTCTGAGGCAGATACTATTATTGCCCCCATTTAATTAAGACAATATTTTTGAGGCTGTAAATCTAAAGTTCAGATGGGCCTGAGATTTATACAATTCCAAGAGCCCTCGACTGCCTCTGAGTCAATTCTGACTCATGGTGAACACACGTGCGTCAGAGTAGACCTGGGCTCCACAGGGTTTTTGATGGCTGAGTTTTCAGAAGCAGGTCACCAGGCCTTTCTTTTGAGGCACCTCTAGGTGGACTCAAACCTCCCACCTTTCAGTTACCAGTCTATACCCCTCAGGGATTCTTTAAGAACACAAAATCACAAATACAGTAGAACCCAGGCCTTTCCTGGGGAGAGGGCTTAAGCGCCATTTCTTTGCAGTAAACCCTGCCCTAGGCTGGGCCGGATTAGACGGTGCCCAGAAGCAACGCCCGTAGATAAACAGGTGCCTTCAAGGCACCCTTTCCACAGTCAGAGAGAAAGGGCCATGTGAGGAGGGTGAGGGAGTTAGGGGGCATGAAGTCAGGTCCTCACCTCTCTGCTGGCTTTCCTGACACCAGCGCCTTCTGGGAGGACATGATGACCGAGGGGGGGACGGCTTCCCGGCGACCATCACGTGTGCAATAGTAATTGTTGGAGAGCTTGTGGCTGGGACCCACAGGGAGCTTGGGAGGAGGCTGAGTTCTATGGAGAGAGAACACTGGCATTGAAGCAAACCGACAGTCTCCATCACTGCACTGTCATGTGGCACATGGGCCTATCACCTCAATCACAACCACTGGGATGGGACACTGCAGGCCAAGGGTGTCCCTTGGTGGGCTATACTATGCATGTATGCTTAGGGAGGGGTCCAGGGCTCAGAAGCAGCTGGTAACCTCAGCTCTGGATGGAAGGTGCTACTGGAAGGGAAGGGCCAGGTCTGTCCCATCCCAGGATTCCAACCTGCTCTGAGTGTGATGAGTACGAAGGCTCTTTTTGGGACCTCTCAGGAACTGAGAAGGCCCAGACTGCACATTCAGGCCTGCTCCAGGCTCCCATGGTCAAGCATGGCAGCTGGCCTCACCTCCACCTGCAGGTGCTCAGGAAACATGGGCAGAGCACAAGGCTCCATCCACCACGTAGCCATGAATACTTCAGCAACAGCTCCAGACTTAGTCCACAGCAAAGGGCCTGTATTTCCTGTTATGTCAGGAACTCTCTGGGCACCCTGCTGGGATCAAGGCTTCCTCCTCAGAGAGCTGGGGCTCAGGCCTCTGCAATTCCCTGCCACTATGGAGTCAAGACACCAGGACTCCTGCAGCCAGAGTGGGGCCAAAAGGAGTTCCACCCTGGCTCAGACCCAGCGAATCCCTGGGCTGGACTGACAAAGAAGTCTGAGGCCTTGAGAGGAAATGCTAGCCTCAAAACAAAATACTAGCCAGAGGAGCTATCCTGGAAAACACAGCGAAAGAGGCGGGCAGAGAAGGTAGAGAAAATCATAAAAAGCTCAGGTTTGCATCAAAATATGATTATACCCAACTTTTATGTCTCTTAATATTTTAGCCAAGATTTAAGTTTTCTTAAAACAAGCAATTGTCATTGCATTGAAAAATAAGAATAATGAAAACTTTAAGATTAATATATTGTGTGGGTCAGAATCTGCTTAACTCTTGACGTACACAGGCAACTGCCTAGGTAGCCTGAGCTTCCTGCATTTGGCACAAGTAAATCCAGCTGCTATGGAGTCAGTTCTGACTCATGGCGACCCCATGTGTGTCAAGAGTAGAACCGTGCTCCATAGGGTTTTCAATGTCTGATTTTTCACAGGCAGCGTGCCACATCTTTCTTCTGAGGCACCGCTGGGAGGACTCAAACCACCAACCTTTTGGTTAGCAGCCAAGAGAATTCTTCGCTCTAACACAAAGAACCAGTGCCCCACAGCAAAAGGTGCCCCAATGAATCATGAGAGGCTGTTACCCTAAAGAAATTTTACAAACCTTTACCTCAACAAGCCCTTGTACTTTTCATCCAACCACCCTGATAGAAAAGCAATTCTTCCAATACTTCAATTTGGAATTAGTTACAACATGCAGGCATTCACATAAATTTGGCTATTTTAATGCTTTTTTCTTTCCTTCCATGCTAACAACTCTCACAGATTGCCTCACCTCTGCTTAATCTTTTGATCTCACATACCCCTATCCAGTCCCTGGGTCGTACAAACGGTTAACGCATGCCCAGCTGCTAACCAACAGGCTGGAGTTTCAAATCTACCCAGTGGTAGCCTGGAGGAAAGGCCTGGTGATTCACTTCCAAAAAACCAGCCATTGAAAACTCCACGGGGCACAGTTCTCCTGACACACAGGGGGTCACCATGAGTTAGAGTCACTCCAACAGTTGGTACCAGTACTGCTATGGGTCTCCACCCGTTGTGTTTCGGCCACCATGGCCTCCTCTCTACTTCTAGCTCCGTCCAGCCTCAGGGTCTTGGAGTTCACTGTTCCCCCTGCCCAGTATGCTTTTTCAATATTCACCCTATGATTAACTCCTTCTCATCATGAAGGTCTAACTCAAATGTCAGCCCCTGAAAATGGAGGTGCCCTGGCCACCTGACCACCCCCCAGCTCACCCTCCTTCCCAGCATTTTGTCTACACAGCATTCCAGAACAATGGTACTCCTAGTGTTTGTTTCTGTTTCTCTCTCCACTGGGTATAGATTGCAAGAAAGCAATGTGGATCCAACTGTCCTTGTTCACAATGCTATCCTGAAGGTGGAGGGCCTGACAGAGAGTTGATGAACAAGTCACTTTTGGACATAAGTGTGAAATCACTTGGAATCCACAACCCAGCTATGCCACTTCCTCATTTCTGAGTGACTTTAGGCAAATTGTTTCGTCTCTCCGAGTCTCAAGGTTTTTTTTTTTTTTCCGTCTGTAATTTGAGGATGACAATTGTTAACTGCCGGGGCCACACTGAGTAATGCAAAGCTACTCATGATTCCCACTCAGAACGCACACGCAGTCCACCCACGTTAAAAGCTGACAGGGAGCTGGCGTAGGATCTGGGTCCGGGGTCTAAGCGGGCACGGATTTTGTTTTTGGTAGAAAATGGAAAGGAGAGAGCCGGGAGCTGGGCAGCGGGCCGGGCCTGCTCACCGCTTGGAGATCTCCTGGTAGCGCAGCTGCAGCTTCGCCTGCAGGTTTTGCTGTAGGAGGAGAGTAAGGTCAGGCTACATGCACCCCCAGGGAGGAGAGGTTCGGGGAAAAGGAAGTCCTGGGATGGGTCGATGGGGACAGGGAGATGGGCCCTGGACATGAAGAGGAAAACCGCGGGCCGGGGCCACAAGATCCGAGACAAAAGCTGGGGCTGGGGAGGTCCTAGCCCTAAGTCTTCCCCGGTCAAGGCAGGGACAAGGGCTGAAGGTATGAACGAGCGAGTCCCCGGGCTGAAGGAGACCCTGGGCTGGGCAAGGGTCACGGCCCAGGAAATATCTAAGACCGGAGGAGGGGCTCCCAGACTAGAGGGATACCCCCGAAAGTCCTCAGACGCGCAGGTGGTAGGCTGAGTAGTAGGGTGGGTCTGAAAATCACGGAGCCCACAACCCCTTCGGCGCTGCCCTGTCCGCCCCGCGCACCCCGGATGTCCAATTCCTCAGCCTCTGGATAAAGCGAGTGGCCGACGCCATATCCCCTCTGCGCTGAAGGGCGCCGGTGACGTCTTTACCGCAGGGCCTGATGGGGAGGTGCCGCGTGATCTCGCGAGGGCAGGAGGAGGCGGGGCTGGGGGTCATATAAAAGGTCTCCTCGAAGCACGTGACCTCTCTCCGCCAGACCGCCGCCGTGCCGCCATTATGGACACCAGCCGCGTGCAACCTATCAAACTTGCCAGAGTGAGACGGGGTTCTGGATTTGAGGGTCGGGGTGACGAATAAGGGTGTAGGGGGTCCGGATGGGACAGGTCTGATCCTAGCTTCTTTCCGTCAGGTCACCAAGGTGCTGGGTAGGACTGGCTCGCAGGGACAGTGCACGCAGGTGAGCGGGTGGGGGCGCCCCGACTACCTCCAGGGGCCCAATCTTGATAGCCCTCTCCATACCCCAGGCCCGGCCAGCTGACATCTGAGGACCGATCGTCCCTTTGCCCTGAGCCTCTGGGAGGCGTCGAGCCCTCAACAGCCCCAGCCATCCAGGGTCCGCGCTCCCACGACTCGTCCCGGAGTCCTGGGACCCTTCCGGCCGCGGTCCGAGCCCCGACGCAGCCTCCAAGTCCCAGTAACTCCCCACCCCGCGGTGCCCATCCTCGGCCCGCCCTCACTCCTCCCTCTTCCCCCGGCGGGGCCGTAGGTGCGTGTGGAGTTCATGGACGACACGAGCCGCTCCATCATCCGCAACGTGAAAGGCCCGGTGCGCGAGGGCGACGTGCTCACCCTTTTGGAGTCAGAGCGAGAGGCCCGGAGGCTTCGCTGAGGCTACTGCCGGTGGGTGCAGGACTGGGATGAGGGAGCAGAGGGCAGGCCCTTGTGGACTATTGGCTAGCGGAGGGAAAGCTTCGCTAAGCCCAGGGGTAGGGGAGAGGGCCTTGGCAGTTTCTGCTGAAACTGACACCGGGAGAGGCTTAGCCTGGGGCCACTGTTAAACATTTGGCCAATACGATCAGTGGTGAGAACCAGCCTGTCCGTGGGAGAAAAGACCTGGCAATCTGATTGTGTAAAGATCACAGCCCAGAAAACCGTATGGGGCAGTTTTACTCTGCTATGTAGGTTCCCTATGAAATGATACACAATAGGGTCTGTCTAAAGGGCAGTGGCCTGAGTTCTCATGCTTGGATCTGTTTACAGGTCCTGGATGTCTTGCTGACTACTTGGCCAATAGGATGATCTACAATTGTCAATAAAGCGTTTATGTTGTATGTAAATGGGATTCCTTTCTGTGTTGCCAGACTTAAAAAAAAACCCAAACTCACCAGATTAGGGTTGCAGTAAGTATACAATACTACTGTGTGGCCCCCAGGTGGTGACTTTGGAAATCTAGAGGGAGGAGTATCCTCTGATGGGACATTTTCCTTTTTTTAAAAGCTGTTATGATTTTTTTAAAACAACAGTAAATATATATGCCTACCACGCATCTGTCAGTGTGTCCTGCTGTGGTGGTTTGTGTGTTGCTATGATGGTGAAAACCGTGCCATCAGTACCAGTGATTGTGAAAATGGCATGGGACTGTTCTTTGGTACATGGGGTCATGAGTCGGAACTGACTTGACAGCAATTGATGACACATATGTGTTTAATGTTTTTTTTAAAATGTATACAGTTCAGTGACAATCATATTCTTTATATTCTTTTTTGAGAAGGAAGCATCCATGTGTCTCTGTGACCCCAAACAAGACACAGTCTTAGTAAGGATGTTTTATTAAGAAAGAGGACAGGGGATGGGGAACCAGGGGCTGTCAGCCTGCCCCCACCACGGGTCCAGGGTGAGCCCTTCACCAACACCAAAACAACCTTCCTGTGGGGCTAGACTGGCATCAGGATAGAGACTCCTGGCCCCAGCTGTGCTCTAGAGGCTGCTGGGGGCTAAAGGGAGACCCCCAAGGCCAGGTCCAGTGCACTGGGCCCATCACTGAGCCTGGGAGTCCTCTCCACTGTCCCTGCGTCCTTCTTCAGCTGTGGCTGCGGGGGAGTCAGGTGACTGGAGAAAGAAGGAGGGAGGAGTCCCCTACTGCTTTCTTCCTCCTGCAGGACACTGGGGTTTCCAGCCCCTCAGATTCAGGAGCCATCAACCTAGTGTAGATCTTGCCCCTTCTCCTAAAAGGACCCCCATCCTTTTTTGGTGGTGAGCCAGGCTGCCTGGTCTGGAACCCCGTCTGCCACTACCTCATGAACAAGGCGCTTCACCTTTGCATCTCCATCCCCGAATCTAAAGTGGGGTGAGGACGGGTGGTTGAATGAGTTTCATGGTGAGAGCGATAAGAACAGCTGGGTACTTCCCATGGGAGGACAAGCCTCTCCCTCCTGGGGTCACATCCCTGTGTTCTGCTCCCACACCTGGCCCCTTCCCTGCTGCTCGCTGACATCACCCCCATTTCCAGTCCTGAAGCTCTGACTTGCTGGCACCTGCATCTCCCCAAAGCCTGCCTAATGCAACAAGTTTCTTTTTTCATTTGATAGGAGCAAATGGTTAGTGTGCTGCACTGATAACCAAAAGTTTGGTGGTTAGAGTCTGCCCAAAGGCACCTCCAGAGAAAGACCTGGCAGCCTACTTCTGAAAATCAGCCATTGCAAACCCTCCAGAACACAGTTCTGCTCTGACACCCATGGGGTTCCATGGGTCGGGATCTGCAGCGGCTGGTGGTAGGTAGGGGAGACTTGCTGATGGGTTTCAGTACTGAGCTATGACTTAATTAGCTCCATTCTGTGTAGACTTAGCTGGTGGTGTCCCCTCTTGAGGCCTCGGAGTATAGACTGCCTCTTTCTAGTGGGCATTCTGCTGGTTAAACGTCAGATTCCAGCCACGCTGAACTTTAAACACAGGTTCCCTACCCTTGGTGTTCTCCTGAGGGAGCAGGCAGGGAGGCCCCTTCTGGGGCACAGCTGGCAATCACCCCCAAACTGAAGGCTTGCAGTAGAGGCTGTTTGGGGGCCTGGGGGCTGCACTTACCGAGGGCCCAGGCTGGCCTGAGCTCAGGTGGGCGTGCAGCAGGGCAGCCACCTCCTCTTGCTCGGCTTCCAGGGCGATGGCCAGGGCACTGGTGCCCTCCTGGGAGGCATGAAGGACAGTCAGGTCCCTGAGCCACAGCGTGGCCTCCACCTCACCAGCCCTCACAGTGGCTCACGTGATCTAGGATGGCAGGGTCGCAGCCCGGCTGGGCCAGCAGCAACCGGACAGTGTCCAGGCGCCCGTACTCGCTGGCGCACATCAGTGCCGTGGCCCCATCTGCATCTTGTATGTTCACATCAGCCCCACACGCCAGCAGGGCCGCCACCATATCCTGGCGGCCATGGCTGATGGCCAGCATGAGAGCCGTCTGCCCTGTCTGAGAGTGGAGAAGGAAGGGGATAGGGCTGAGGTGGGCTCTGGAGTAAGAGGTCAGGGGCTGGGGTCAGTTTCCTCAGTGAAGTGATCTCCCCCCGACGGGGTTCTGGGATCAGATGGAGGTATCCACGTACCTGGCTGGCCTTGGCATTGACATCACCCATGTGGAAGAGCCGCTCGACCACAGCCATGCCCTCCTCCCGGCCCACGTTGGTGAGTGCAGCCAGCATAGGGGCCGAGTAGCCAGCTCGATTCTGGCGATCCACCTCACAGACCCCTGGGAGAGAGGAATGGGGCTGTCGGCCAAGAAGCAAGACCCTCAGCCCTACCTGGTTCAGTTCCTAACATGGCGGCTCTCTCTCCTGCCTCCATCCTTTGTCTCCCAGGAAACACAGCATCCTAACCCCTGTCCCTGTGGCTGTGATCCCATTTAGGACTAGAGCTTTCTTTGAATGACATTCCATCTGCAGGGTGGGACTTAAACCTAATGGTTTTCGAGAGAGAGAGAAGAAAGCACAAGGGAGGAGATGGGTGCCACATGCCAAGGGACTGAGAATCTGGGGCCAGAGAAGCTGAGATGAGGATTTTGCCCCAGAGCGGACAGCCTTCCTCTCAAGCCAGCACCCTGAATTCAGACCTAGAGCCTGAACCCTGAGAAAATACATTTCTGTCCATTAAAGCCACCCACTTGTATTTGCAATAGCAACACTAATCAAGACAGTAGTTATCTGATCACATCACAGATAGTCACAGTTGGTCATGCGTTGCTGTCCCCTCTGCCTTGAACATTCTTCCAACATCAACATGGCTCCTCCCTCACCTTCCAAGTTTTGCTCACCTCAGTGAAACCTTCACTGTTTAATTTTCACCATGGCATTTGAACCATATTTTGTTCATCAGCTTTGCTTTTCTGTCCTTCACCCATAAGGGGAAGAACTGGATTTTGTCCACTACTGTAAGCCTTGTTACTTGGAACAGTCCCTGACATGTACCAAAACCGAATCAAATGCACTGCCGTCGAGTCAGATCCAACTCATAGTGACACCTCCTTGGGTTTCCGAGGCAGTATCACTATGAAGTAGATTGCCCAACCTTCCATCCAAAGAGTGGCTGGCAGGTTTGAACTGCCAGCCTTCTGGTTAGCAGTCAAATGCCTTAGACACTATGCCACCAGAGCTCCTCCTGACATGTAGTAAGCCAAAAAACATAAGTCATTAAGTGGATTCAAACCCGTAGCATGATCCACAGGGTCCCCAAGGCTGTGAATCTTTTATAGAAGCAGACGTCCACATCTTTCTCCTGAGTAGTGGCCGGTGGCTTTGAACTGCTGACTTTCTGGTTAGTAGCTGGTCGCCTAGCCACTGCACCATCAGAGATCCTTTTGATATATAGTAGGCACTCAGTAAACATTTGTTTATTGACTGAATGGATATTTGTTTTCATGACTACCACCCTCATCCAGAGTCCCCAGGGGGCACAAATGAGTAAGTGCTCAACTACTAGCTGTAAAATTGGCAGTTCACACCCTACCAGAGGCACCTTGGAAGACAGGTCTGGCAGTTAGCTTCTGAAGACTATGGAGCACAGCTCTTTCTACTCTGACAGACATGGGGTCACCATGAGTCAGAATTGACTCCAAAGCAACTACCACCAACCTCATCCAAGCCACCATGGGTGTTCTCCTGGAGATCTGAGCCACCCTGGTCTGCATCTGCTTCAGCCGAAAGCAGCAGTTTAAAAGAAGTTTGGCTCCATCACCTAGCTACTTAAAACCTTCACATTTCCCTGTGGGTCCTGGAACACAGCCCATTGTCCACCATGGCCTCATAGGAGTCACAGTGTTATCTAACTTCTGTTCTCTAAAATACCCTCTTCACCCTCAACCTAAGTAATACTGCTCATTCTTTCACAATGAACAAGAGAATTAGCTCAGCTTCCTCTGGGGTCAATTCTGTTACCATTCCCACCCTCTACTTCACAGCACCTACCTCTGCTGGAGTGACTGAATGCCTGTCTCCCCACCACCACTCAAAGCTCTGAGGATAAGGACAGTTTGGGGAGATGAATGGATGGGAGGGAAAGATAGGGGGTTGGGTAAAGGAGCTGGATCAAAGTTATGGAATGGATATCCTAATCAGTGGAGAATCTGAGATGGAGGACTGAGGAGTAAAAGGGTTAAGTGGTATCAAAAATGGGGGGAAAATATTTTTTTCTAAATGGGAGGCATCCCCCCAATTGTGTGGCCATGCTGTCCAAGTGTTAATTCCCCCACAAGCCTCTGTGACACTAGTGGAGGTATTGAGATGGGGAGGAGGACATACAGAAATAACCGAAGTGGAGTCTCTGCCAACTAGCCAGGGACCCCTCAGCTCCTCCCTTTCCTTTACTCCCTCCTAGCAGCCCTGAGATCTTGCTTGGCTAAATCTTCTAGGTGCACACCAGGATATACCAGGTGAGCAGAGTGAGGTGAGAGGCCTGTGGTGGGGTTTGAAAGTGCACATTAAAGGAGAGTTAGTGAACTTACACCAGAGGAGGATGAGCAGGGAGTAAGGACACAAGGACACAGTGAAAAGGGGTGGGAGCAATGGATGATTGTCCCATGAGCTCCAAGGAGCGTTGGAACTGGAGACAGCTGAGAAATTGGGAGATGAGAGAAGTACTGGAAAATGAGTTATGGAAGGGGTGCAGGTACTGGTGACACCAAGGGCCAGGGTGACCTTGGACGTGTAAGGCTGATGTGGGGCAGAGTTCAAGGTCAAGGAAGGGGAGCAGGTCAAGGTATGAGAAGTCTAGGAGGTTGGAAGATCATCCATGAGGACACTGAATGGCCAAGGACCAGGGTGAAGGGGCCAGGAGCTAAAGAAATGAGAAATGAGGAGTGACTTGAAGTTGGAGGAGATGGCAGCCAGGCAGGTAGGAGGAGATAGAGGTCTGATCCAGGACAAGATGCTCCAAGCAAGAGGTTTGGGGAAGAGGAGGGGGAAAGTTCTGAAAATGCAGGAAAAAAAGCAAGGCAGACACAGCTACTTCCAGGCCCTGGGCTCAAGAACAATTAGAAGGGTCCTGGGAGAGGGGAGGCCTGATGGTAAAGTGGGTAAGGCATTTGGCTGCTAACTGGAATATCAGCAGTTCCAACCTACCAGCTGCTCCTTGGGAGGAAGATGATGCAATCTACTTTTGCAAAAATTTACAGCCTTGGAAACCCAATGGGGGTGGCTATGAGTTGGAATCAAATTGACTGCAGTGGGTTTTTTAATTATTATTTTGGGAGAGGAGAGAGGTAGAGTTATGTTAGAGCTAGCGGGTGGGGCAGAGGAGTTGTTGGTAATGACCAAGGTGAGAACCAGAGGGCCCAGGAGAGGGGGTCGCGTGAGTAAAGCTGACTGGGGTTGTTTGAAGCTGAGTGGGGGGTAAGAATGCAGGGAATCAAGGGGGCCTGCGAATCAAAAGGCCAGCAGTTCAAATCCACCAGCTACTCCATGGGAGGAAAATGGGGCAGTCTGCTTGTGTAAAGATTTACAGCCTTGGAAACCGTTTGGGGCAATTCTTATAGAGTGGCTATGAGTTAGAATCGACTGCACTTGGCAATGGGCTTGCTTTTTCTAAAGGAGCCTGGGGGTGCAAACAGTTCACACACTTGGCTGCTAACTAAAAAGCTGGTGATTCAAACCCACCCAGAGGTACCTTGGAAGAAAAGTCTGGCAATTTCCTTCCCAAAAAATCATCCATTGAAAACCTGACAGAGCACACAGTTCTACTCTGATGCACGTGGGGTCGCCATGAGCCGGGATCAGTCCGACTGTTAATGGTAATTGGTCTACGGAGCCTGGGCCCTCTAGTGATGACCAGTGATCCTGTGCCCACGTGGCCATTGCAGAAGCCCCAGCACTCTGGATCACAGGCGATGCCCAGGAAATACCTGCTGAGTTCATTCCTTGTCCCCTCCTCCCAAGGCCCAGCTGTCTGTCCAGCCCAGAGCAGCTGTGCTGTCTCCAGTTCACCAAGAGCTACAGGGATGGGAGACGTCCCACCCTCAGGCTCCAGGGGTTCCTAAACCTGAAAGAGGACACCCAGCGGGGTTCCTGGAGGGCAGTGATCTGTCCACCTCTGCCATCCCTGTGCTGTGTGTCCCCTGGGAAAAGCAGCTGCACCTTGTCCACAGCAGGCTCTCGGTCAATATCGATGGACTCAGCGACACCTGGGTGTGTGTAGGAAGATGGGGCAATCTACTTCCGTGAAGGTGTATCACCTTGGAAACTCAATGGGGGTCGCTATGTGTTGGAGTAGACTCAGTGGCAGTGATTTTTGTGTTTGTTTTTAATCTGCTAGGAGGAGGGGAGGAGAAGGAGCTCTGGTAGCATAGTGCCTAAGGCACTTGACTGCTAACCAGAAGTCTGGCGGTTCAAACCCACCAGCCACTCCTCGGAAAGAAGATGGGGCAATCTACTTCCGTAGTGATACTGCCTCAGAAACCCAAGGAGAGGTCGCAAAGAGTCAGGTCCGACTCGACGGCACATAACAACAACTACAGGAGGAGGGGAAGGAGCGCTGGTGGCGTAGTGCCTAAGGCATCTGACCGCTAACCAGAAAGTTGGCAGTTCAAACCCACTAGCCACTCCGTGGAAGAAAGACTGGGCAATCTACTTCCATAAAGAGTTACCGCCCTGGAAGCCAAAGGAGAGGTCGCAATGAGTCGGAATCGACTCGGTTGCAATTTTTTTTTAATCTGCTAGGGGGCGGGGGAGAGCTGAAGTGGAGGCTGGGCAAGCAGGAGGCAGGTGATTGACACCAGTCAGATGGAGCTAGTACAGCCGGCCAGTAGTGCTGCCCTGAGAGGAGAGTTAGAGCCCTAAGCAGTATTTCCCCTTAGGCTGGAGCAGAGGTGGGTGGCAGGACATGGGGGCTGAGGAAAAAGGTCACTGCCACGGCTGGAGATTCAGGACCGAGGGCATGGGAGGGCCCTGGGCACAGCTGCTGGTGACATTTACTGACCTTCTAGTATGTGCCTGGCACTGCTTTCCACAGTATTACAGGCGCTCATTCCACAGATGAGCTGAAGCTGTTTGCAGTTAAGTAATTCCCCTCAACGGAGGTTTGCCTAGAAGCTCTGGTGGTGCAATGGTTAAATCATTCAGGCTGCTAACCAAAAAGCTGGTAGTTCACGCTCACCAAACCGCTCCACGGGAGAAAGAAAAACGTGGCAGTCTCCGTCCCTCAAGACTTACAGCCTTAGAAAACCTGTGGGGTGGTTCCACTCCGTCCTCTAGGGGCGCTGTGAGTCGGAATAGATTCTAAGAGAGTGGTTTTGTTTGGGTTTTGCTTCCGTAAAGACTCAATCTTAGAAACCCTATGGGGCATTCCCACTCTGTCCCATACGGTCACTAGGAGTTAGAATGTGTTTGATGGCGCTGTGGTTTTGGGGGGAGAGGGTGGGGAGGTCTGCCCAATCCCTAATTCCCTCTTCCACAAAGTGGGAGGTGGGTCAGGGTAGAATTGGGGTGTGGAGGTGTCAAAAGGCCCCTGGGAACTGATCCCTGAATTCTGTAACTCCCGGGAGGGCGATGATGGGTACAGCGGTGCCCTGTTCCTGGTCTGCCTCTCTGTGCCTTTCTTCAAGTTTCCCCAGCACCGTCCTGCCCAGGCCCTCTCCTCGTCTCCCCCTACTATGACCCCGCTCTCCCAACCCTCCTTAGCGCTGACCCGTATCCAGCAGCAGGCTGGCAATGGCCAAGTTCCCATGGGACACGCTGTAGTGCAGGGCCGTGTTCCCGTTGCCATCTGCCAAGTTCACCACGTGTGCCAGCAGCTCGGGTCCCAGGCGCGCCACCGCGCCCAGCACAGCGGCCACGGGTGCCGCCTGAGAGCGCCGCTGGCTGGAAACTCGAAACCACTCCTGGGCCACCAGGCGCGCCACGCCCTGCCGGGACAGTGGGGAAAGCGCTTGATTATAATCCAGGGACAGAGGCAGGGTGCCTGGGAACTGTACTGGGGCGGCCTTTGGTCACTGTTTGTCTGGGGGCGGGGCATGGGAGATCGCACCCATTTCGGGGAGGAGGTAGAGTCCGTGGCTGCGAGAGAACCTGGAGGGAGGACGGCAGAGAGCGCTGTCTGTGGCGGATCCGGGATTGGGGTTGGGGCGGGCCGTTATGGGAAACCCGGGGAAGGTAAGCTGTGTGCCCAGGCGCGGTCCCTTTGGAGAGCCTGGGGTTAGTGGGGATCCCGGGCGCGAGGGGACGAGGCTTGCCAATTCCTCCTCTAGGAAATCTGCGCGCTCCCCCTAAAGGAGCGGCAGAGAGGTCTGTGGTAGGGCCAGCGAGACCCTCCGGGCAGGGCCCTCCAGCCCCACGCCCTGCACTCACGCCATCGCGGGTCAAACCGCGGGGTCGGCTCAGCTGCCGGTGCAGCGCCTCCAGAGCCTCCCTCAAGCGCGGGCTCAGGTCGCACCTGCGGAGGAGGAGGGGGGACGCTCAGGAGGAGTCGGGGGACCACGGGGACTGGGCGCCTAGCGCCACTCACCTTCCCTCCTCCCCGGGCTGGGGCTCCGCCTTCGCCTCTGCCACGGAGTCCCGGGCATCCCCGGCACTGGGAGAGCCTGGCAGGCCCGAATCCGATCCCCCGCCGCTGTCATCCCCCGAGCCCGAGGAGCTGCTCCGCGGGGGCTTGGCGGCGCCATCCTCGCTGTCGCCGTCGCTGTCGTCCTCACTGGAGGAACTCTCGTACCTGGGGGCAGGTTGGGAAGCGTCCACTAAGCCTGCCCCGGGGCTTGTAGCGGAGTCCTGTGGGCAAGGGTCGCGGTTCCCGTTTTACAGATGAGGAAACTGAAGATCACTCTGCCAGCGAGGGGCAGAGCTGGGATTCGAATCCCTATCTAGGTCCCCCAGGTGCTATCACAGGGAGGGGAAGGTGCTCACTCTCCGTTGAGGACCCCAACAAACTGCAGACTCTTGGGGCCGGGGCTGGGCTGGGAGCCAGGTTCGCAGTCTCTTTTCTTCATGATGGATTTGAGGACGCCTGGTGAGGGGGCAAAGGGATACACTGAGTCCAGGGCCTATGGCCAGCAGGGGCAGACCAGGGCGCAGTGAGGGGCTGGGACTCACCCTTGGGCGTCACGGCCGGGGACCCCTCCGCGGGCCCTGACGGGCTCTCTGGCGTCAGGGAGGGGACGTCCGGGAAGGAGTCAGTTTGCGTGGCCTTCTCAGCGCAGTCCCACGGGGTCTGGGTGGCGGCCTCACACTGCTGTGCCCTGGCCACCACCTCTTCCTCCTCCTCGGTGTCGCGGGCTTCCTCCAGCTCGCGCAGGCGACCCCGCAGCAGCTCGCTCACCCCGCGCTGATGCTCCAGGCCGGCGCGCAGCAGCTCCAACTCGCGTTCGGCGGCCTCGGGTAGCCCGAGCAGCGCCTCTGTCACCCATGCGTCCGCCTCGACGGTCTCGGGGGCCGCCTCCACGCTGGCCTCCTGGGTTTCTGGCACCACCTCCACGCTGGCCTCCAGGGTCTCTGGCGCCGCCTCCACGCTGCTTTCTCGGGTTTCGGGAGCTGCCTCTACGCTGGCCTCCTGGGTCTGTGGCACGGCCTCGGCCTCCTGGGGCTGGGGCGTCGCTTCAGGGACCTGGGGAGTGCTCTCGCAGAGCCTGGCCACCGAACCGTCGGGGCCGTCGGCCCGGGGACCGGCCCTGGCACGGACACCGCGCTCGGAGGCGGCCAGACGCTCGGTGAGCCGCCGTAGCTGGGCCAGCTTGGCCGGACGCGCCTCGGCCTCCCCATCGGGATCGGACAGCGCGCGCCCGGCCAGCAGCCTCGCCTTCTCGGCGCGCAGCGCACGCACCTGCTCTTGGAGCTCTGGAAGCGCGCGCGCCTGCTCCTCGAGCTCGCGCAGGCGCCGCAGCGCCACTGCCATCTGCTCGCGCACCAGCTGCAGTTGGGCGGGGCCCGGGGAGGCGGGGGCGGGAGCGGGGCTGGGGGCGGGGCTGCTACGACCAGACCCACGCGGGCTGCGTGGGGCCGCCTCGCGGCCGGGGCTGGGGGCGCTTTCACGCGCCTGTGCAAGCTCCAGCAACCGGCTGGTCTCCAAGAGCGTGTGCTCGACGCGCGGGTTTCGAGCGGGCGCCCGTGGCGACAGCGGCGGCAGCAATTGCCCCGGGGGCGCGCCCGGCGCACCGCCGTCGTCACTGGCTAGGGACTCGCTGGATGTCCAGGTGCCCGGGCTACGCGCGCCCCCCAGGCTGGGCCGAGCCGCGCGGGGGCGGCGCGCGAGCGGGGGTCCTGGGGCGCGGTAGACGGCAGGCCCGCGTTCCAGCTCCTCCACATACTTGAGGAAGTCCAGGTCCAGGTGGAAGCCATAAGGTGTCTCCACCGAGTAGGGCGAGCTCGGGCTGCGGGCGCCCCCGGCTGGGCCCGGGCACAGGCGAGGGCAGCCCAGGTCTGCGGACAGTACCGAGTGTGGGGAGCGTCAGGCCAGGGACACCCCAAGAGATTGGAGAAAACAGGGGTGCGCCCTGACGCCCCACTACGCGCCTGCATCTCTCCATTTACGCTCAACCCTGCACACCTGCTGCAGTGTGTACACACCCATACCCAAGGCTCACATGCCTGTCTGCACCCAGGTATTCAGCAAGCGCACGTTTATTGAGTGTCTGCTATGTGTCAAGCACTTTTCTAGGGCTTGGTACACAGCAGTGAGCAAGACAAACACCTCTGTCCTCTGTTTGAGGATAGTGTTACAACATAAATTAAGATGATCATTTCAAATGGTGCTAAACAACAACAACAAAAAAAAAATGGCGTGGAGTGGATTCCCACGCATAGCGACCCTATGGGACAGAGAACTGCCCCCAGAGGGTTTCCAAGGCTGTGAACTTTTGGGAAGCTGACTGCCTCATCTTTCTCCCTCCAAAAGGCTGGTGGGTTCCAACTGCTGACCTTTTGGTTAGCAGCCAAAAGCCTTACTGCACCAGCAGAGTTCCTTCAGCTGGCGCTGAGGGCCATAATGATCATAATCCAGAACAACCCAGTTGTCGTGGAGTCGATGCCAACTCCTGGTGACCCCATGGGTGTCAGAGTAGAGCTGTGCTCCACAGGGTTTTCAGCGGCTGATTGTTTGGAAGTAGATGGCCAGGCCTTTCTTCTGAGGCACCTCTGTGAGTTGGTTCAAACCGCCAATTCCAGTTGGTTCCAGTTAGTGGCTGAACATGTTAACCACACCACCCAGGGACTCCAATAATAACAGCAAGATGATATAGACATTAACCAGAGGTGTTTCCCAGAAGGGACTTATAAATGGAGGAAGAAGCAGCTAGGGACACAAGGTTCCCAGGAGGAAAGGTCCTGGTGAGAGTGAGCTGAGTGGGCTGGAATAACAGCATGGAGGAGGCTGGGTGTCAGAGCAATATGAAGGGAGAGGGGAGAGGAGCCGGAGAGGTGGGCAGGACCCCACAGCGTGGAGGAGGCTGGGTGTCAGAGCAACATGAAGGGAGAGGGGAGAGGAGCTGGAAGGTGGGCAGGACCCCACGCAGGGCCCTGTGGGCCACCATGAAGAGTTGGAATTTTACTTCACATGTGACAGGGCACCATAGTCAGGTTTTAAGCAGGAACGTGACATTATCCCCTGGACGTTTAGAGAGGCCCCTCTGGCCACTGTGTGGAGGAGGGACATGACAGGGCTGTGTCCACACACACGGGCACCAAGTATGGATCTGTGCACACACGTGTCCATCTTGTACACTCACCGGACAGGTTCTGATTCAGGACAAACTTGGCCATGGTTCCTGGAGCAGCCGCCAGACACACCCTGAAAAAATGCCCCCAGGGGGGGTAAGGGTAGGGTTGCCCAGCTCCTACCTGACACCATATGATCTGGGCCCTACCTGTCCTGGGAAGGCCCCTGGGGTCAGTCATCAAGTCTAAGTAAACAGATGCAAGAGTCTCCCTCCCCCTTAAGAGGCTCTGAAACTTTGGATTGGGTGACCACAGGGATCCCCAAGTGCCAGGCCTCCATCTGCAGAGCAGAAAGAGGCAGAAGAAAACCAAACCCAAACCCACTGCTTTGGAGTCAATTCCAAGTCATAGTGATCAATGGCAGAAAACTAACTGCCCCATAGGGTTTCCAAGGCTGTCAATCTTTAGAAGCCACTGCCACATCTTTCTCCCACCTAGCAACTGGTGGGTTTGAATTGGGGACCTTTTGGTTAGCAGCCGACTGCTTTAACCACTACTCCACTAGAGCTCCTCAGGAGTGGAGAGGAAGGTAATTAAGAAAACAAGAGTAGCTGGGACAGGAGGCATTCCATACCTACTGGGCCAATCCATGGGGAAAATTAAAAAGCATTTCTCAAAGAGGTGGGGTCTAAGCCTTTAGAAAAGGAAGGTGAGAGTTGGAAGCCCTTTGTGGGCTCATTAAAAATTCATCTTGTCAGATTCAGTATCTTTTTTTTTTTTAAAGTAAAGAACAGAATCTCTTGAAATTAGGAAAATGCAAGACAACGTAAACAAGATATAATTGTAGATCTAAATCTGAATTTTCACTCAGGTTTCCTACAGGACTAATGGAGAGTTGTGGGCTGGTTGTACTAAGGATGCAAATTAATGACTATCAGCCTGGGAGGTGTCTAACAGAGTGCCACAGCGCTCTATCCTTGGCTTATAATAGAGACACAGGTGCCCAGGTTGGTATAGCTATGACTATCAATGGAGTGGGGAGCTCTGGTGGTGTAGTGCCTAAGACACTTGACTGCTAGCCAGAGGGCTGGCCGTTCAAACCCACCAGCTGCTCCTCAGATGGAAGACAAGGCAATCTACTTCCATAGAGATACCGCCTCAGAAACCCAAGGAGGGGTCGCTATGAGTCAAATCAACTCGATGGCAGTGAGTTTGGTTTGGTTGGTGATCAATGGGGCTGGGTGGTGTGTGGTTTTTCGGGTGACACGATGGGGGCTCTAAGAAACTGAGGGTGATCAGGCCATGACTAATATAATGCTATTAAACAAGGACAAACACTGAGTCCAGAACTTTGGTACAGAAAGCACAAGATGGGGAAGGTGAGGCTTTGAGGAGCCACATGAGAAACCCCCAGAGAAAGGAAAACAGCTGTATGGAGCGCCTGCTGTGTGCAGGTTGATATCATCCCTCACGTTGTCCAGAGGGGAAACGGAGGCACAGAACAATGAAGTCATTTGCCTGTGGGAAACACCCTCCGACTGGGCTCTGTCCAGCCTCTGCAGAGCCCTGGCCAGCAGTGGTCAGCCCCACCCCTTCACTTCCATCAGATCACCTAGCCCAGGCCTCTGTATGGCTGACACCCCCCCCCAGCCACTGAGCACTGATCAGCCCACCCGATTCTCCCACCTTCCTCTGCTGCTGGGTCCAGCCTGGGTCCCTGACACCACCCCTCACCCTGAAGCCAAGCAGGACCCTTCCAGCCCCTAAGCAGCTGTTTCCCGTCCCCCACTTCCCTGGCAAGGCAGCAGGGCAGCCGGCCATCACCAAGGACAGCTCATGCCTTTCACGACTTTGTTTTCAGGAAGTGGCCAGGGAATAACTGGGTCGTGGAAAAGGCTGGGCTGGCGGTCAGGGGTCTGAGCTCGCCTTCAGCACAGATGCTGGATGACTCAGCAGGGTCAGCCGCTGCCCCCAGGGCCTGATCACACCTGGATTCAAGGCCCTGGGACTTCAGAAAACAGCTGTGCACCACCCCTAAGATCCACATGGGCCAGAACTCAGAGGCTGCGTTGCGAAATAAGCCGATGTACCCAGAAGGAGAATAATAATAACACTTGTGGCATTTACAAAGGGCCAGTCTCTATTCTAAGCCATTTATGAATATTAGTATTTGTTGGAAGTTCTGATGGCATAGTGGATAAGACATTCAGCTGCTAACTATAAGGTAAGCAGTTCAAAGCCACCAGCCACTCTGTGGGAGGAAGATGAGGCAATCCTCGTCCTTGAAGATTTACAGCCTTGGAAACCCAATGGGGGTCACTACGATTTGGTGGCAGTAGGTTTGTTTTTTTGGTTTGGTATTGTGTGTATAGTCGAGTCAATTTCGACTCATATCGACCACGTGTGACAGAGTAGAACAGCCCCATAGGGTTTCCGTAATCTTGACAGAGGAGCCCTGGTGCACAGTGGTTAAGTGCTCAGCTGTTAAGCAGAAGGGTGGAGGTTTAAACCCACCAGCCACTCTGCAGGAGAAAGATGTGGCAGTCTGCTTCCGTAACGATTTACAGCCCTGGGAGCTCTTTGGGACAGTTCTACTCTGCCTGTAAGGTCCCTATCGGTCAGAATTGACTCTGTGGCAGTGGGTTTCAGTTTCTGGAATCCTTATGGGTGTGGGCTGCCAGGTTTTTCTCCCACGGAGTCGCTGGGTGGGTTCAAACCACCAACCTTCAGATGCCCGCTGAGCACTTAACTGTCTGCTAAATCCTCCCACGTAGGTTTTTTTTTTTTTAATCATTATCCTCGCTCTATAGACGGGTAAACAGAGAGAGGATGTGACTGATCCGAGGGCACACATCGGCAGCGGCAGGATTTGAATCCAACAGTTTCAGCCAGAGTCCCTGTCCTTGGCTACTACACTCGACCTTTTAAAAACAGTGGTCCCACCCAGGGGGGAGAGGCAGGGAGCCCTAAGGGGGCGGCCCCCCAGCCTACACCCATGCCTGTCCCGCGGGTCCCTGACTGGGGGCTGCGGCCTCATCGAAGCAGGGGCGTGCAGCCGCCCTTCCCTCCCCTCGGCTCCGCTCCCTGCCCGGGCTGTCAGCGCCAGGGCCGGATCCCCTGTCTGCGACCTCCTCATTAGGCCGTCAGAGCCGACGCCACACGCCCCCACTCCCGCCCAGGGACTATTTCGGGACGCGGAGCCGTGAGCACGAAGCTGCAGGGTTGGGGGCACAGCAGTAAGTGGGGATCACCCTCCCGGGAAGGTGTCGGCACCCCCGAAGGTTGAGGGCCTGACGCTCAGACACTCTGAGGTTGGAGGAGACGCTGCGGGCGGCGGGAGGGCGAGATGCTCAGGTCACCCCCACCCCGCCCGACACCCTCCTCCCCGCCTCCCCAGGACGGCCTCGCAGGGACAGAGCGGTTTCCTACAGGAAACTCCGCCGGGCGGTTCCATCCGCCGCCCATTGTCTGTCGGCCGGGGAGCCGTCCGTTCCCCCCAACACAGTTTCCGTATCAACCCCCCAAGTCCAGCGCGAGGGGGCTGGACCTCAGTTTTCAAGTCGTCCGGGAGCGACACTGGTGAAGGGTCCCAGAGCCGCTGGGGAGCGCAGGAGCGGACTGGCGCCCCGCGTCTCGCCCCTGAAGGGCGGGTGGGGGCGCGCTCCGGAATCCCCATCTCCCGGTTCTGCGCGCCCCTGACCTGAGGCTCCCAGTACCGGAGGGGTGCCGTCTGCTGCACACGCTCCCGCCCCGTCGCAGCGCGCTGAGCCCACAGAGGGGCTGAAGTACAGCGCCCCCGCCCGCCGGGCCCTCTGCTCTTCCAGGACCCACCTCGGTGTCCCCCAAGTTGGCGCTTTACCTGAAGCCGCAGCCCCCGCCGCGCCCGCGCCGGAGCCCGCCCCCTCGAAGCTCCGGATCGCAGTTATGAAGGCCTCTGCCCTAACTGACGGAAAGGCTAGCCAATCAAAGCCCGGTGCTCTCCAAGCTGGCCAATGGGGAGGCGGGGCGGGCCTCGGGGTCCCGCACAAGGGAGAGTGGGGAGCGGCGGGGGGCGGGGCCTGGGGTGACGTTTCTAGGGGAGAGGCACCAGCATTTCTGCACCAGCAGTGGCCCAAAGGTGCCCAGCGCCAGCCTAAGGAGCTTGGATTTAATCCACAGTGTACTAAGGAGCCATGGGAGGGCTTTGAGCAGGAATGTGACCCAGTCCCAGTGAGATCTAGTGTTTGGAAGGCCATCTGAGAAGCTGGAAGTAGTGGAGCTCAGTTTCCAGTGTCCGGGCAGATACCAAAGGAGTTGTGGTGGTGTGGGTAAAACATTTGGCTGCTAACCAGAAGGTCCCGGTTCAAATTCACCAGCTGCTCTGCAGAAGGAAGATGAGGCAATCCATTGCCCTAAGGATTTACAGCCTTGGAAGCCCAATGGGGGGGGGTCACTATGGGTCAGAATCAACTCCATGGCAGTGGATTTGGTTGTTTGTTTGTTGGAGCAGGTACCAAGGTCCCTGGGTGCAAACAGTTTGATAACCTAAAGTTTGGTGGTTTGATGTCACTTCGAGGACTAAGGTGCACCTTACCCAAGCCATGGTTATTTCCAATCGCCTCATATGCATGTCATGCTTGGTAGGATGGAGGGTGGACGAAAGAGGGGGAGGCCTTCAACAAGATGGATTGACACGGTGGCTGCGATGATGGGCTCAAGTATAGCAGGGATTGTGGGGCTGGCGCGGGATCGGGCAGTGTTTCGTTCTGCTGTGCGTGGGGTCGCTATGAGTCGGAAATGACTCGACGGCACTTAACAACAACAACATATGCATGTGAAAGCTGGACAATGAATAAGGAAGACCAAAGAAGAGTTACTGTATTTGAATTGTGGTGTTGGCGAAGAATGCTGAATACACCATGGACTGCCCACAAATCTGTCTTGGAAGAAGTACAGCTAGAATCAGGGTCGGATCACCCAACAAGCAAGATACACAGGGGTCCAATTGTGCCGTCTCATCAATCCATAGCACACAGTTTCAACTGCCACCCCCCCGAGACATGGTGAAAGCTGTGTGAAACTGCTCACCACAGATTACAAGTAGGCACAGTTAAACACATGCGTAT